CGCATCATTGATTCAAATCTAGCAAATGTGTTTCTTTCACGTAAATAGAACTTTGGTGGATAAAGCCTTTATCTCGTGGTGAAAATTTAATGGTGATGTCGACTTATTCGAGACAATTATTTCAAAAAGACTCTGATGGCGTTGTTGACATATTCTTGTCGTATTTTAGAAGAAACCCGTCAGAGACGGCTTTGAGTAGAAGTGATCTTCTCCAACCTTTAAGCATTTATATACGTTTGCCATCGTTTCTGTTTTCCAAATATACCCTAATAAATTGATAATTTCCTTTAATCCTCCGAATATCTTTTCGAATATCTTTTCTTTTATAGGCTTGACTTTCTTTTGTGAGAAAAGCTGTGCATACGTGTTGTTCACTAACGCAATTGCGCAAAAAACCTCTAAAATTTGGATAACGGCGTGAACCCTACGCATCGGTACTTTAAAGAAAGCCATTTCCGTCGTTCTGCTGTAACCTACGAACGTTCTTATTCGGTTCGGGACGACTCGCTAACAATGACGATCTTACAACGACCCTAATGACGTTTAGGCAATGAATGTTAATTTTGTAATGTCTTACGCACGTCACGCGATTTGCGTAAGCACAACAATGAATGTATTTATATCCACAAAGTATCGGATGAGTCCGTGCTAAACCGTCATAAGACTTGGGTCAAAGCCAATAATAATCTGTGGTCAGCATGCAAATAGCGACGAACACGTTTACGTTCTAAAGATATAACACGATTTGTCAATTGTCTGTGCTCATATTTCAGTTTTGGCACCTCCATTTCTCATGTTCTAAAAGTCACGCGATAAGATCATTTCCGGCTAGACGACACGCGCACGAGTATTCCTATCTGATGTAACGCAACGCGAAATATTACTAAGTTGTAAAAGGTCGACAAGAAGTGCGCTGGGACGCCTGTTCAACGGCATCATTCTCATATTCATGAAAACTTAAAATTTCAAAGAAATTTACATGTTTTTTGTAAGTAAAAAAATATATAGCTTTCACGACTGAACCTTTTTTTTTAAAAAAGGTAATAAACACTTTGTTCATTCGAGCATTTGTTGTCTATCATATTTAACGCCCACACAATTGAAAAATTGTCCATGGTGTCATCTAATTACGCTTCCGAATGACTATGTAAAATCGGAAGGAAGAAAGAGAATAAGTGCATACGATCCATCGAAAAACATGTTGCCATCCATACTTGCAAAAGAACCCTTCCAAGCGAAAAAGTACACCATTCTATAACGAAAGGATGGGTTCTGGGTCCACGTTTAAACAAAACCTATGGGGCGAACCCCCAATACCGCTCGTAGCCCTCACTTCGGTCGCTGTACTGGACCAAGAGATACTGATACAAAATCAAGCAACTGTATAGTGTAAACTGAAAACAACGACACATTTCGAAAATTGTGTACGTAATCGACATCTAGCACCACTTTGGTGAACACCTTGTGAAATGACGTGGAAGGAGAGTTACAAAGAGAATTGTGCAGAATGATAGAGACAATTATGCTCCAGAAACTACAAAATTTTTATCGCTACCATTACAATTAAAAAACAACAACAACTGTTGCTGATCATCTTATCGATAAACAGATCGCTAACAGATGAGAATAAGGAAATTTACGTCAAAAGTGAACGGTAACGTTTATTGAAAGTGGTGATGTCTGCATTCAAATAATAATATATAAATGAAATGGCGGAGAAAAACCAATGATATCTGAAACATATTTTTCCTTCAAACGTGACCAAAAATATCTTTAAAATAATTAAATAACTAAAACATAATTTGGTCCGCGGCTACATCCTTTTCAGTCCCAGAATAAGATGACAAAGGAAAAGCAAAGACAAGAAAAGAAGCAAAAACAAAAGAAAACACCAAACAAGAGAAGCCGAAAACTTCACTAATCGAGTTGAATGTGAAAAAATTCAGCCACTTTTTACATTAAAACTGACTCCACTAGTTTGAAATCATCTTTTGAGCATTCAGAGCATGTTGTCTTTGTCTGCTCCTACGATGCTGCTGGCTGAAACTGCGTCTCAGGCTTCGCCGATTATACGACCTTGTTTCTGTTTACTCAGAGAGCGGGTCGGGAAATAGTTTTTTTCTGGTTGGGCTACAACGTCGTTTGGCCTACCAATAGTTGCGTTCCCCTGAGCCGAGACACTTTTCTCAGCGTTTTTGTTAGCATCGTAACCAACTAGCTGACTGGCAGTTATAAAGTGTTTCGATTTGACGTTCTCTTTAGGCTCACACACGTCTCGTTATCCTCCTGCGCTTCTTCTTTGTTCATTGTTATCTGATTACCCTCATTTTCATTATTATCATCATCTGCTACTTTTTCATATTTGAGCTAAGTGTCACTTTGAGTATACGCTGTCACTGCGTCTATAAGGCACTGCTCCTGGTTATTGCTAAGCACGTTGTTATAATACGTTCGTATATAAAAGTTGACTGATGACATGTTTCAAATACTTTGAGGTGTGGTTGCAGTGACATTGATGTAAATGAGTTGAATTTACGCTGACGGCTTTAGCTAGTCTAGTTGGTGAGGATGGAACGCCAAAGAAATTATGCTGCTGAGAGGTACATTGTTTTAAAATTTTCAATGTAGCATTTTACATTGATCTTAATCTCAAGAATTGGTGATGGAATTCAATGCTCAAGTTCAAAAGACAAAATTTCCAGTTATCGCGATGGAATTGCAATGAAAATTGTACCGTAAGCTTACTTCACACTCTCGCTTGATGCCTGTGACGAAAACGTAATAATTATCTTCAAAAGTGACCGGAGGCTGTCCATAATTAAGCATTATCCACCATAAGGCAAAGTCGGTATTGTTAAATAGTTCCCAAAACGAAGTCGAAGAGATCATTCAGCAATAATTTGAGCCTGAGGTGAATAATTGGTTCATGTAATTGTTCAGGTGATTGATTATCAGAGCAAAAACATACATTTTGTTTCATTTCTTTGATTCTAACTTGTCGTGTATCTTTGAGCAGGGGCATGGGGTCTAACGCTTACACACATAATCAATCTGAAAACTGCACATGACTGAAGCAAAAACTGAATAAAACAAGAAAAAATTCTCTCTTGGTTATGAGTAAGTTCATTCGAAGCAAAGAGTAAGACATAATCTAATAATTTTGGAATTACAGGAATAATAATTGCTCTAGTATTCAAACCTGGGGGAAAAAAGTTTTCCTCGTGTCTTCCCAACAGCAATCTTTGATCTTTTGAGGTAGATAGTGCTGCAGGAAGAGTCGTGGATGTTAATGGAACTAAATGAGATGCTTTGGAAGTTTGTTTGCCGTTGAAGAAAGATATGAGGGTTGATGTCATTTGTTGGATTGATTAGGCGTTGGTATCTTACAGTAGCTCTCTATACTTTCTATCGCTTTTGTGCCCGGTGACGGCCTTGATTTTGCGCGTTTCTATATTATTTCCGGACAAGACTGCGACTGTTGCCGCTTTCAATGAACGGTTTGCAGAAACGGGAGAGTTCCTGCTTTTTCTGTCACCTTTCTCTGCATATTTTGCAAGTCATTATGTCGGTTGTGGAATTGAACTTCTCAGAGCTGAAATCTTTCGGCCATTGGAGGAACACCTCTGAGTTTGAATTTGGTTCCTTGAATATAGCTTCTGGGTTTCAAATGGACATCTCCTTCAAATGACTACAGAAAAGATTTTGCCTGCCGAGTAATCTCTTAACTCACCTTCGTCATGCAATTTCTTGATGGTTTCAGTAGTTAGTGGATAATTTATGAACAGTGCAAGCTACTTTTCCCTCGGAGACAAGTTGCTTCAGGTGGGAATTGAGTATTTTATTGAAGTCGCTAAATAAGTGGTTATCGAACATTTTGTTTTGTGCAGTGGTCACTTAACATGACGTTCTAAAGTCGCTCGCACCGACAAGTTAATTTTCTTGTAGAAACTGTCGTCTTTTGTCATCACGGAGACGTTTACTTCCATACTCTCCAATTCTGTTGAAAATTCGTTTCGTTGCTTAGACCATTCTGTAGATAAATAATGCACTGCGAATATTTCGTTACAATTGTTTTGATAACTCTTATCGGAAGCAATCAGTTTCCACTAGAATTAAACATGTTTATCTAATTTTATATAAGAGCAACTCTTCTTAACCTATACCAAGCTAAGTAGTGCCTCTTCCGCCCTTTGAAACTGAATTTTCTTTAATCGTGTATATTTCTTCTTCGGTATCATTTACAAACGCGAGTCATTGACAAAATGCGAGGGGATTATAGATGCGTTATTGATCAAGTGCAAGAGAATATCAGTTGATGTTTTCTTGCTAAGAGTCAGGTCAAGATGGCTGGATATTAGCCGGGTTCTTTTTGTCGCCTTTTTTTGAACGGGAATAAAGAAGGACGCATATATTCGGCCATCCTGACCAAACAAGCTTGGTCAATTAAGGATTTATCAAACAGCGAAAATATATTGCTTTACTAAGAGTCAAGAATTACTTGAAGTAATTACCGTTCTGAAGTTCTCAACAAAAGAGGCTAAAAGTTGCATTTTTTCTCATTTTTGGTTACCCTTTTCAACTTCTTTAGTCATTATATGTCAGTGTTTAAGTGTTAATATGTCTAACAAGAGAGAGAAGCAAAAAAATTCTTCCGAAACAACAAATGACTTCGAAACATTTGTCAGAGAATCGCCCGCTAAACTGAACAAAGGACAAGATAGCATTCTTCACGATGTAGCCACCTTCAGGGCAGAAGTCCAAATCAACAATGCTTCCATGAGCGACATCTCAAGAAGACCGACAAATTTCAACCAGAATAACCAAGAAAGGGCGAGCTCCATGGAGCTCCTTTCCCTCGAGCGTTATTCGCGTGAATATAACCTGAGATTCCACAATATCTCGGATACTTCAGGCGAAGATTGTCGTCAGAAAATTGAAGGTATTCTAGCTGAGCAGCTTAATTTAAAACCGCCGATAGAAAATGCTCATCGTGTTGGCTCATGGATCGCCGACAGCGAGCCAAGGACCATAAATCTATTTACCGTCCAGAAAGATTCAAAGTTCTTCAGAAGAAATGTGACCTCCCGAAAAATGTTTGGATAACAGAGGATCTAATTTGGGAGAATCGGGAGCTAAAGAAGAAGCCTAGAGATGTCGTGAAAGAAGCATTCGAAAGTGTAAAGAAGCCACGTTTTCATCTTAGGCAACTGTATACAGACGGAGCTTTGTTCAAAATTACATACTTGTCTTGGTCACTGTCAGGTTAGTCAGTAAATATGCAGAAATACGCCGAATGGAAGAATGAATGTGCCGGATGGTTAACAACTCAAATGATCCAGATTTAGATCTTTAATGATCATGGTATATCTCCAATAGAAGAGTTTAAAAAGTTCTCCAAGGTAGTTAAACCCTACCTTTCGATGTTACATCTATAGAATCAAATATTAAAGCCATTTCAAACAAAGAAGGCAACTAGGTCTTCAGTATGGTCCAAGTTTCTAGGGAAAATGTAAGCGGTCCTTTTTGTTTACAGGGAAATTATCAGGGGTAATTCTAAAAGAGCTAACTGCAGTATTAACAATAGTGCACCTAAATGCAGCTATATTTTTAATAATGCAGCCACAAACGTTTTCGATTTAGTGTTATTGCTTTATATATTAAAATTACACATCTTACATCAGCTAACTTTCTTACTAATATGAAATAACAATTTCAGTAGTATTGGTTCTAATTTCAACTGACTTACCATAGTCCTTTTCATTGTTCTTCTCCTCAAAAACTTTTGCGTTTAATCCCATTACTTTTTCTTCATTGTGCTTAATATGATTCTCAAACAACTCTTCCTCATTTCCCTCGACATCCTTTTCAACTTTCCTAGGAAACCTTCCCTGCAATATTTCACTTGCTTTTCGTTTAAGTGTTGACGATGTACATTTATATTCTTTTTACCAATATCCATAGTGAAAATAAGTTTGTTTTGGCCAAGGAAATTTAAGTCATGAAAGCTTTTCGTAGGTTTCATCGAACATCAAATTTTTAGTCAATACCACGGCCCTGAGCTCTTTATGGTGGCCAAGTTACGTTTTCAACTCAGTTGTTAACACTTAATTACCTGCTAGCATGAATTCCCTTCGGAGGTAGAAATTGCGTAACACTTTTTTTCATCTTTGTGTGTGGTAATTTATGTATATCACCAACATGTGATACCAGTCTTCTTGAATTAATGTAACGTCAAGGTGAACAATATTTGCATAGAATAAAACACATTGTATTTGGTCATTTTGAGTTGCAAATGGTAGTTTTGGTAAGTTATATATGCACTGAAGTTGAATGGAGGATTCCTTGGAAGACGAATCTATCGTGTACATAACGCAGAGCTCGAGTTCCACGAGTTCCACCGCCATTGAAGGTAGTGAAATTTTGTTTTTTACAAGGCTGTACTTTAGCCAACTGCTAGAAGCTTTTCGTTTTTCTTTCTTTAGGAGAGCAGAGTTCTAGATGACCGATATCCTCCTTTTGAGTGCGAGGAGTTCGAAGAAAGTTGGGTATCACATCAAGACATCGTAAATGGGCCTCGGTTTTGAAAGTCTTCGATCATTGGCGAGTTAAAAGAAACGTGGCATTACTAAAAGAGAATTATAGTGGCGAGCCGTTAATAGACGTAAGTCTAAATGAAATGTCTGAGGAGCAGTGGGATTTTTCTTAGCACGATTTATTTCCGAAGTCAGAAGAGAAGACGAGCAAGAGTATCTAGGGAAGACTTTATATGAAATGATAGGCAGCGTTCAAAAGTTTTACATGTGCAATGTAAGCGAAATGTAATTCTGGTTGACGAGGAAGGTTGTACAATTGGAAGTTTAAATTCTGGAGTAGGTGTGGTTGTCAATCAGGCAAATTAATAACTGAAGAACAAAAAAATTTTTTTTTGAAAAAATGGTTATTAAGGTAGCGAGAACCGGGAGATACTTTGCTTTACTTTGATTTAAGTTTTTGGCATTCATTTTGCTTTGAGCGCTGGACAGGAACACCGAAATTGAGGTTCAAAAACTTTCAGTTATCTTTAAAACATGATGAATCGGAGTGTGAATTCTTGCAGTTCGTGGAGGATATTGGTAAAAATATATATTTTATACTGTCATTCCAAATGACGAAGGTCATGAATGAAGGAATGACGGGCCCCAAGACATTTTCTCGATCAACGCACTGTTAAGGAATCTAGCTCTGAAACACTACTCCGTCTAGACGAACTAGTATTTACACTCAATTGTAACCACCACAAACAAACTAATGGCGCAGCCATAGGTACTAAAATGGGACCAAGCTACGCCAATCTTTTCGTAGGTTTTATCGAACATCAATTTTTCAGTCAATATCACGGCGCCAAACCTGAGCTCTACGGCCGTTACATTGACGACTGCATCGACGCTACCTCCTGTACCAGAGAGGAGCTCACTCAATTTATAACCGTCGTCAATTCCTTTCACGCGGCTCTTAAATATACCTATATACTTCCGACACTTCTTTGGCTTCTCTGGACATCAAAGTTTCAATTGAAGGCAACGGTTTATGCACTAGTGTTTACTACAAACTTATAGATTCACATAGTTACTTGTTGTATTCATCCTCGCATCCATCACACGTCAAGAATTCAGTTTCTCAGACTTCGCCGTTTAAGTAGTAACGACTCTGATTTTTCCGAAAAACCAAAGGCAATGTGCCAGTTTTTCGATAAACACGGCTATCCTGCTTCTGTCGTTCGAGGGGGCCACCACCGTGCCCAACAAATTGATCGACAGTCAGCACAACAAACGGCTAAGAAGGAAAACACTGAGCGCATTCCGTTCACTCTCACATTTCACCCTCACAACCACGCAGTTAAATCTATCATTCTTAAAAACTTTAAATTACTCCAAAACGATTCAGAGGCTGGTACTATCTTTCCGCAACCCCCACTAATTTCATTAAAACGTGACAAAAACATAGGCAACTTTTTGGTCAGAAGTTCATTTCAAACCAATGACCAATCTGGTACTTTCAAATGCGTTCGCTCACGATGTAAAACTTGTCCTTTCATTCATAGCGTAAAGAAAATATCGGGACCTAAGAGATCCAGTAAGATCACTGATCACCTTGCATGTACCTTCTCCAATGTCATTTACTGCACTTATTGTAGTAAGTTATACATTGGTGAAGCAAGAAGACGACTAGGTGACCGACTCCGAGAACATCTTCGCGACGTAGAAAGAAATGACAAGGACGCATCCAAACTAGTCTTCAGACACTTTTAATCTCCCTAATCATTCTGAACAACACATGGCAGTCTGCGGCCTTTCCCTACATCTAGGCAGTTGGGAAAGTCGCAAAACACCACAACAAAAATTTATCTTCCAAATCGGCTCTCTTATTTCGGTATCAATGAGCGCTTTTCATTCAACGAATTTATTCTTGTTTTCCCATCACCATATTCCCACCAATTAGGTTCTTACCGATAGTGCTAGCACTTTTTTTGGCATTATTTGGCTTCGCGAGAATTTTTTTTTTTACGTTTTATCCCAAAAAGCACTGCTAGCATTAATTTGGATTTTCAACTGATTATTTGTATAATTTTGTGTTAAAAAGCTCAATATGACTTTATTAATGTCGTCCAAAGCCGCATTTTGCCCTCATTTTAGTCAAAGGAGCCGAGGAGGCCTGGAGAATAGATTTGATAGGTCAGCGGTTGCCTTCTAGAAACCCAGTCCATCACACTCGTTCCAAGATGGCGTCATTCAATGGAAGGAACAATGGAAGTCAGCCAGCCAAGGCAGAGATAGCTTCGAGAGCGTACTCTGCCATCAATCAGTGGAAAAAATAAGACTATAAGGATATTCTATGTTTAATAATATACATGGAAAAATTACTCAGTTCTGATTGGTTAAGATAAATGCAGTTTCAGGTAATTCAGTGTAGAAGAGAGTTAATTCAGTGTAGAAGAGGGTTAATTCAGTGCAAAGAAAGAAACAAATCAGACAGTCTGATTGGTCAATAATCAAAGAAACTCACAGATAGCCAATCAAATGCGAGCCTTGGATGGCGCAACAAAATTTGAAAATTTGCGAGCGAAACAATGGCCGGCGTTTTAAGTAGGTTTTCTTTCGCCACCGCAGCTGAAAAACAGCTTGAACAATGAAAACACTGTAAAAGGCGCTGCTTTTTGGTTGTCGGTTTGGAAAAAGTGGTGCTTAGAGAAGGGAATTGCCGAGGAAATCGAAAATTACGAGCCGACCCGGCTTAACACTTTGCTCGAGCGATCCAACGCCGAAATTAAAAACAAACATGGTTAAACCTCGGAAACGACGATTCCATTTCATCAAAAGTGATTCGGACACAGACTGAACAATTCCTTGAACTGTTTAGCCGGACTTTGAACTTTTTTGCACCTTAAAGATGCGAAGATATCATTGCATATTATTGTTTTGATCGTACGCAGTTGTTTTGACCGAACGCACGGTTTGAATAAATTATTTTTTGCACTTGATGCGCGCGCTTTGCTTATGTTTAATTATGATAGACCATCTCGTATTTTTCCATGTACCCTACGGGCTCGTGCAATTTTGTTAGTCTTTGAAAAAATTTACTCGTGCTTATTTATTCCAAATTGCACTCGAAATCATGTGATTACCTATACTAAAAAAAACGGAAAAAAGCGAGCATTTTTATGTAACCCACGAACCCTTTTTTAAAAAATTAGCATCATTTTAGCACTTTTTTGGCAAAAAACAAGCGCTGCTTTAAGCATTTAATGCTTTTTTACGAGCACTATCGGTAAGAGCCTACCACCAATAGCATAGCTCCATTTTCTGCATATAAACCCTCACGCAACTCATAATTCCTCCAATCGCTCTGACGAAGGGTTAACGCTTGAAACGTCAGCCTTTTAACTCTTTACGATGAACAATTTGCGTTTTCAACTCAGTCGTTAACACTAAATTACCTGCTTTACTCTCCCACCCACGCAGCACCACAGTTTCTTTAGAAATTTAGCCCCAGAATTCATTCTAATTTCATTGTTTACATACCAACAAATAACAAGGAAGCGCCTGAAATCGCTGATATAATGCAGAGGGAGCACAATAGGATTTTACGGGGGTCAGTAATGATAATAGAGGCAGTCAGCATTATGAGACATATTGCAGCCAGCTGAGAGCGTAATATATCTCATAACGCTGACTGCCACAGTAAATATCCATTAAATATTAGAAGTTTGCGTAAAACTTTTTGATAAATGGTATGGTCTTTTAGATTCCACTTCCCTCAAGTTTGATTTAATTACTAGTGCAGAAACATGGATAACTCCTCGTGCCGATCTAAATCAATTACAAATATCAGAATACACCATGATAAAAGATTATCGCATTTCTCCAAATGGCAGTGGGGTTGCTTAATATCCTAAGGGAGATGCTGACTATTGTCTAAGAGAGGATCTTAAAATCGATGGCTTTGAGAATATTTGGGTGGACGCGCAAGACTTGTTAACAGGCGTAATCGCCAACCCACCTAACAGGTCCCAACAGCAATTTCTTAATTAATTTTAGCAAGTTTTGCACACCCTCTATTTTTTTAAGCGCAAGTGTTTGATACTAGGCGATTTTAACAGTATGCATCCTAAGAACACAATATCGAAAGAATACCTCAATCTGATCCAATCAAAGGCTTTTAATGCCTTGGTATTTCAAGCAGCACGTAGAACTGAGACAAAAATGCTTAGGTCTTTCGAGTTTTGCGTTTTCAAGTAGAATTATTGCAGTAGAAATTGCTGATCACCTGCCTGTTTTTAGCCTTGTTTACGATCTAAATCGTAGTCCCATTCTTGATTCAACTGAAATATGAGATTTTAAAAAAGTTGACAAGATTGCTTTTCAAAATACGTTAAGAATACAAACTGGCAGCCTGTATATAATAATAGTGGTGGAAATGAAAGTTTGTCAAGATTCCTTCGCATTTTTAATAAGATTAGCAATAAATATCAACCTTTGAAATAATCAAAATTAAAAACTTGGTAACTGGAGTTTTAAGAAAATCGATTAAAATTCACAGTCAGTTGTATATGGCTGACAGCCAGTAACTCCTTTTATCGTAATAAACACAAACTTTCAATTTATCGCATCAAAATAGTTGCCATTAACAAAACATATGGCACACTTTATTACGATAATATACTTAAAGATTCTACAAACACTAAGAAAATGTGGGATAACGTTAATATGATTATAAACAAAAAGAGGCAGCATCGACAAATTGCAAGTAAACGACAAAACCTTTGAGCAACCACTCTCAATATTAAATGCGATCAACAAATACTTCTGCGGTGTCACAGCTGAACTTGCATCTAATCTGCCCAAAACGAATCACCGTCCCTCGTCTCGCATGAACAGGAAAAAAAATCGTTTCGTTTTATTAGAGTAAATGAAGTTGTCCTATTGTTCGAAAGTATTGATACTCTGCCAAAAAATTGTCAGTTTGGTCTTGACAAAGTAAACACTTCGCTATTATCTTCTACTGCACCTATAATTTATAGTCCATTGACTTATGTCATCAATTTATCACTTAAGCAAGGAAGATTTCCAGACAGTTTACAAATTACTAAAGTTATCCAAATTTTCAGGCAAGGCCCTCTCTTCTTATGTAACAACTATCGTCCCATATAAGTCCTTTCAGATTTAAGTGAAATTTTCAAAAGATGAATTTTAATCAACTGATATTTTACTTCACAACTGGAAATATTTTCGTATCAAAGCAGTTTGGCTCAAGAGCAGGAAAAACTGCAACTGACTGCTTTGTTGACCTAGGAGATGATGTAACTAAAGCTATTGGTGAAGGAAGTCATGCTGCATCTATATTTCTCGACTATTTCTAATCCATCCATTCGCGAGATTAAAAAAAAGTGGTTCGAGTCTTATTGAAGCAAACGGAAACAAAAGGTGTCTGTTCACGGTGTCGAGTCTAATTTTTACTAATTGAATTCAGGAGTACCTCAAGGGTCAGTATGAGGGCCATTCCTCCTTATAGTTTCTATTAACGATATGGTCAAAGCTACTGATTTCTTGACTGTAAGACTTTTTGCAGATGACACTTCTTTAACAGAAACTGGTAAAGATTTAGATGTAATGATCCAGCGAATAAATTCGGAAGTACCACCAATCTATGAATGGCTATAGTCAAATAAGTTAACCCTGAATTTTAGTGAGAAAAAATATCTGGTTTTCCCACCGCGACAGAAATAAATAATTACAATTTGTATCCCCCTCTTAAATTAGCAGATCAATACACTGAGTACTCTTACACTGTTGAATATTTAGGATTAGGTATTTATTGTTTTCTGCTATGGCATGATCATATTGACTATATAACGGTAAAATTAGCAATCGCAAGATTGAAACGACATACAAATCAATCTCTTAGAAGTGTTTACTATGCACTTGTTTATCCTCATCTAACATACGGTTGCATATCGTGGGGTGATAATTACGAAGCTCCATTGTCTCAGTCAGTAAAACTACAAAGCGAAGCTGTAAGAATCATTAACAATGTACCACCTCGTGACCATAGTGCTCGCCATTATGTAGACCATATTACTCCCCATTATGTAGACCTTGGCCTACTTAAGCTTCCCGACATAATCAAGTTAAGAACGTGTCAACTATTTTACGAAATTTGTTATTTTGCGAGATTAGTTATTTTATATAACAGTCCCTCTAGTTTAGCACTTTCTTTTGTATCTGAGATCCATGATTTACAACTAGAAGTACATCTTTGCAGCACCTGAACCCAAGTCTCTTCAGAATGAATGTAACGAGATTCTGTCCAACAGTTACAGGAATAATATTGGAAAGATATTCCTATATCAATATGGGAGAAGCCCACTAAAACACTATTTAAAAGAGCACTTTTTATAGATTACTTTCCTCAGTACTATTACTATGTACTATTAATTCATTAGTTGTTAAAGGAGTGATTCCTATGCCTTCTCTTACAACAAGAATCGTTTATGTTTTCTTTATTTAGACTGTTTCCTACCGCTTTTGGCGACTCCATCACCGACATTGTCCAAAAATTACGAACTTCTTTGTATGGCGGTTCGCTCCGAGAAATTTTATTTTTTGCGCGGAACCTAAGTGGGCAATACCATGAGGTCAAGATGGGTTCATCTTGCACACTCGGTTAGCAAAATCAGAACACAGGATTCCATATTGCCCACGGGCATTGCTTGCCAGCGTTATAATGGAGCGAGTTATATCATAACCTAGACACAACGCGATCTGATTGGAAAAAAGTGTATTGTATATATGAATGGCTGTAAACTCATAGAAAACTGAAACTTCTTCCCGTCCTGTCAAATGACACCACACGGGGCAAGAAATTAAAAGCCTTTAGTTTGAAGGAAATAAAGAGGATACTTTGAACGCCAAAAAAAACAACAAAGATTTTATTTTTCTAACATTATCAAATTTTCTAGTAAAGAGACAATTCAACTACCTGGTTCCTCCGGTTTAAGCCTTTATTTTTCGCTGTACGGTTAAAATGAAAGAACTTCAGAAATTCTCGAATATAATTCCCCAAACTGCTCTCCGAGAAGGAAACAGTTGGCATGTTCTCGCTTCAATAAAATTGTAGTGACAATTTAACCGGATATCTTTAAGATCTTTACTGAAAATCTTATTTTCATGAGAAAAAACTACTTGGAAAAGACTCAAAAAGTTGGTAAACCGTGAGGTGCGATCTTGTGGTTTACAAACTTTTCTCATGTTCTCCCAACGTCCCGCGCGGTTCATTGCCCCGAGTGAAAAGTCTTATGGGCATTTCATTAACTATTAACTCGGTTGAAATTTAATTTTACCTGGGGTAAATTTTGTTAAACCCAGGCGGGAAGAAAGCCTATTAGAAGAGGCGAAGCTTATGAATCGAATCTTGTCCCTTGCAACAAAATCCAATCCAGTAGTTTCATAACTTAAGGAAATCCTTATGAACAGGTGGCATTTAATACAGCAACAGCCATTGCTGCGAAAAATCTTCAAAGAACCGTCCATAACATCATACAGGAAGGTGCGTTCACTCAAAGACATAGATCGTGAGAGAAAAATTATAACGAAGGCAAGAAAATCGAACATACTCTGGAACCACGAAAGCCTATTAACACTTGTAACGACTGTGATAAGGAAAACTGGACGTACCACGGAGACGTGTGGGCCTGGCTGCCCCAATTTACTCGTAACTTGACAGATCGTAAACCTCAGTCGAATAAACACTTTCAAAACGTTCTCCTGTGCCATGTGTAATAAATGGTAGACATATATATAATTTTTACGATCACCAAACACTGTGTACTTGTTATTAATAAATACATAAGTTTGCATTTACTCAACCAGGTTGAAAATATGAGCTAATATATCATCATCTAAAAAATGACCAGCTAGCAAGATGAGGGAATGTTGGTGTTTTCAAATGAATTAAAAGATATCTTATCGGGAAGGTGCATGAACAGTTCCGTCAAATGACTAGGAAGCTATGGATTTTTTGCTTTTACGGTGACAGTACTGCTTTACAATGACGTGTCAGTTTGAGAAATGCATTCGTATGTCTCCCACTTCGACTCTATGTTCCTGAACTTGGTGTCTCCTCGTCACACAGATATTTCGTACGATCTTACTTCTCAGGCTAGAGATTACAACACTTTATCAGGCTATTTATAGCCTCGTTAAATACGATTTCGTTCACTGAAATTGGTTTGACAAGTTTTATTCCCATCGTCATTCCACCTTTCGCGAAAGCAGGAAACGTGATCAGGGAGATATTCTTCTGGCTGAAAAGATGAAAGTAGAAGGTTAATACCGAAAAGTAGAAGGTTAATACCGAAAAGTAGAAGGTTAATACCGAAACATTTACAGTTTCTTTATGGTCGGCAAACATCGCCAGGTCAAAGAGTAAGCTGCACGACATCGACACACAAGGTTGATTTCCCGTTTGATCGCCATAACAAATAGCTAGCTGATAACGTAAGCTTTTTGGAAGCTCAGATGCGGTCGCATTTGCATTTGTCACCTTTCAGGTCACAACAAGGACAGCTCCTGAGGAGTTGCCTGTGACTCCCACAAATTGTGGGTGAATAATTTAGGGTAAAAGATAAACATCCAGAGCTGGAAATGTCCATCACTGAGACTAGAGAACTCTTCCTTTTTTGAGGGAAAAAAAAACGGCCACGTTTAGTATAGATGTTTTTGCAACGCAGCTTTAGAGAACCCAAGTTAGCTTTTTCTTAGTGATGCACCCGCGCATGAAACAGCTGAATTCAATTAGATACTTTAAAACCACCAAGCCCTTGATGAGGTTCTCCTTTATCTTCATAGAGCTCTGGAGAATAACATACCTCCAGAATCTTACCACTGGTGTTTGATCATTGATCATTGCAAGGATTGATAGTCTCTCGATCAACCTGACCCACCTCAAGTTTTACACAGATCTCTGTTTAACAATGTTACGATAAATTTTGGACTGAATTTGAGTAATACGACAGTGTCATTCAGATTTCATC